TGTATATCAGGTTCTGTTTCCATGCTTGGGAAATTTTCTGCTATTATTTCTGCAAATAATCTTTTAATGTCAGTTGTGTTGCTTCCTGCTGTTTCATTGACTCCTATAAGTCGTACATTATTCCTCTTTGCCTCATCTTGCAGCTGTTGAATTGACCTTTCCTGGATCCTTTTTGATTTTATGAGATCCTTTCTTTCACAGTCGCTAGCTGCCATGCTGTGTTCAAAGTCTGAGATTCTATCTTCAGCTTCATTCAAGAGGTTTTGGTAGCTTTCAATGGCAGCTTTGTTTTCCTGGAAGTCTCTTTGAATCTGTTTCATGCATTCTAAGTCCTTTCTATATTTTTCATTGAACACTTCTGTCCCTTGCCTTTGTTCTTCTATTTTCTTATATGTTTCTTCTCCAGACTTTTGGAGCAGTTCCTTCATTATTATTGTCATTTCATTTTTTGCCTGAGAGATTATTTCTGATCTCATCTCTTCTATGGCTTTATGAAGTTGTTTCTTTACTTCCATTGCAATCAGTTCAGCTATTTCAGGCATGTGTTTACCAAGTTCTCCTATGTTGATGTCTCCTGGACTTGTTCTGATTGGGGTGGAGTTCTGGCATTGTGTTTTAGTGCTTCATTTTGTCATGTTTGCTATCGGTTGCAGAAAGCTCAGTTACCCTCTTCAGTAGCTGCACAGCCAAGACCACTAATGTCCTTAGTTTTCCTGTTGGTCAGGTTTGCCCCTGAGTAACCTCTGAGAAGAGCTACTTAGTCTCAAGGTTTCCGGCAGTTTTTGATTTGTATCTAGATATCCCCTTTCTCAGACACGGGCACTGGTGTCAGCTGATGGCCAACTGTCTGATCCAGCGTCCCCTTGCAGTTCAGGGCACATGCATGGCCCAGACTCCCATTGCACTGGTGTGACAATCTGGTCCAGTGGACCTATGTCCCCAGGCCATTCAGCATATAGGCAAAATCCAGACACAAACTGCAGGATCAACAGTTTGTGAACCACCTGATTCTGTGTCTCGTCAGCTCAGGGCACATACAGGAATCAGATGCAGGCTGGATGGGTAGCAGTCACAGACTACCCGTGCTTTTGACCCCCTAGGGGGTCCACTCGAAAGTAAAGCACAGACTCAAACCACGGGACCAGCAGCTCTTGGAGCACTCACTCACTCCATGCAGGGGGCATGCAGTGAGGGGCTGCATGTTCCCCCACCAGCCAGAGAAGTCCCTGGGGCTTCTGAGTGAGGACCTCCTGTTTGCTGCAGGTGCAGGGAGGACAGAGACTCAGTCTGTAATGGCAGCGGGGTCCTGTGTCACCCACTCTGCCCTCAGGAAGTAGATGGGAAATACCCGGCTCTCCCTGCAAGTTTCAGCTGTGAACCATGGCAGTGTGAGCAAAGCATGGACTTGAATCACGGGACCAGCAGCTCGGACTTGAACCGCGGGACCAGCAGCTCCCGGGGCACTTGCTCACTTGGTGCAGGGTGTGTGCTCCCATATACTTTAATCATCTCAAGATTTCTAATTACACCTAATACAATGTACAGTAATTACTCTGTAAATATTGTTATATTTGTTTAAGGCAGAATGGCAAAAAATCTGCACATTTCTGTACAAATGTATTTTTTTCTAAATATCTCTGATACACAGTTGAATCCACAGATGTAGAACCTGTGGATAGAGGGCCAACTGTACCCAAGGAGTGCTGCCCACAGGCCAAACTGCAAATCTGTCTCCTTTTGTTTTCAGCATAGTCTTCTCCTTTCTCCAGTCTTTCTTTTCATTTCAGCCCATCCTGCCCTTCATCCTCAGTCTCAGGGACCAAGTGTTCTTACCTTGGTCTCCACACTGAAGAAAAGTAAATGTGACTGGAGTAGATGTGTTAAGCCTCCAGCATGGTGCTGCCATATCCAGTAGCTACTATCCAAATGCGATTATATACATTCACATTTAAAGCAATTAAAATTAAATAAAATGAACAAATTTGAGTCTTCACTGTCACTAGCTACATTTCTGATGTTCAGAGTCCACATGTGGCTAGTGCCTAGTGGATTTAACAGAGTAGATCTAGAACATTCATATCTTGCAGAATCTAGGACTTTTGTGAGAATCCCATGTGTTGTTTTACCAGGTAAGACAATCAATAGTAGCATACTTGATGACTACATATGAATGAATAAATGACTTTCATTTAATGTGGTAGAATCCCGGCACTAACAAGAGATAGCCTGGAAAGTTTTAGGACCCCTCCCCTTTGTGAATGCCTTTACAAGGCCAAATTTAAAAAAAAAAATTGATTAGAAAATTCTAATCATCTTTTGGCACAACAACTTGTGAGAATATTAAATGAACTCTATATTAAATTACAAAAAGAGTTGGTTATATTCCAAGGAAAGTTAATTGCATGAATTTGTGCCAGGGTATTTTATTTGAAGGAACTGTACTTTGGGATAGTATTGTACCATGGCCAGAATTCTAATAAAAATAGTTACATGCAAATGCATGTCTTGACATCAAGCTTCTTGGGACCTTCTCCTAAAACTCTTTATGTAAGGAAAATACTCACCCATTTTCCTCCAGAAAGGCTCTTTATAATAGACAATGCACTTGATGACTGACCCCAAAGGCACACGGGAGACCAGCTGGTTTCTCATCATGGGCAGAGGAGGTTTGAAGTGAATCTTCATGCCCAGAGCAGGAGGGATAGCACTAATCACATATTTAGCCTGAAAGAAAAGCAATGTTATTAAATATTATTGGTTTATTGTTTTAGTTTTTTTCCCCAATTATCCTTTCACATGCCCTTGTTCCCTTTCAATCTCTTAGCAGCAAACCCAGAAGGATCCTGTAAAAATTGACAGCAACCATTATTGTTCCATAGTTCAAAGTTCCAATGACTTGTCATCATATTTGGAGTCAAAACCAAGTTCCTCACATTCACCTCCAAGGTCATACATGAAATGGTCCTCTGACTTCTGCCATTGTGACATTGTTGCTGTTCCTTGATCATGTCCCAGGGTCTTGGCATTTGCCATTCCATCTATATGGAACACTCTTCTTCCAGAGAGCCACATGGTTCCCTCATCTCAGTCAGTTCTACACTCATATATCACCTCAGCAAGGCCTCCCGTGATGACTTTATTTAAATTTATGTGATCAATATTCCCACCCATTCTGATACACCCTCTCCCTTTGCTGCTTGATTTTCTCCACACTATTTGAAAGACTATATTTTAATATATAGTTGATTATGGCCACTTCTTTCAGCATTGAGGAATGAGCCCAGGCCTGTGCACTATGCCACATTCCCAGTATTTTTACATTTTTAAAAATTTTCAGACAAGGTCTCATTAAGCCACTAAGTTGTCCCGGCTGGGCTGGGACTGGCAATCCTCCTGCATCAGCCTTCTGGAGTGTTGGAGTTGTAGGTGTGTGCTACCACACCCAGCTGTGATTATGGCCTTTATCCCCCACTAAAATGTAAACCTCATGAGCATGGAATTGCATTGGTCTTAGTTACTACTGAATTCTCAACTCTTAGAATAATGCCAGACAAGTAGGTATATTTGATATTTATCAAATAAACTTTTTTTTGCTTTTTAATTATTCTAAGAGCCCAATACAAAGTTGATCAATCATGTTTTCTAACCACCCCCCCCAATATCCTGGTTCTATTTTCCTTTCTTTAAAATAGAGGTAGCATCTTGTCAAGGAATTATCTGTAAAGTCTGGGCTATTCTTGGCTTTATTTAGGCTTTGGTCACCTGTAGCACTGTAGGCTCTTTCCCACAGGTTAGGGGCCTTGGTTACCTCATACATTTCATGGTTTAGAGTCTCCACAAGGACACTTTCTCCTGTTTGGTCAATGTGGATCACAGGCCTCTCTAGTTTCACTCGGTCCCCAAGGAGATTCATTATCCGCTCACTCACTTGACCAGATCCGCCCACAAATTTCCTTTCCTGGAAAGAAAAAAGATGGGTAGGTGTTATGGTTTATGTCTAGATGACCCCCAAAGCCTCATGAAGTCATAAGTGGGGGTTTTTAAGGGGGTACTGGGTCTAGAGTGTGTGGTACTGGATCTAGAGTGTGTGATACTGCGATTGATTCATGGTGCAATGCTAGGATCAAGGACACTAGGATTAAGGATGGGATCAAGGAAAAATGGATAAGATATAAGCGACAGAAAGATCTGTGGTCATCCTTTGTTGCTTTTGTTGTCTTCTGCATGCAATGAACTGTTTCTCCTCCGCGATGCCCCTCTGCCATGTGCCACCCTGCCTTGGAGCCAGCCAACTATAGACTGAAACCTCTACAAATTGTGTGCTAAATAAACCTTTCTCCCTCTAGCTTTAGGTGCTGGGTATTTTGTCTCAGCAACAAGAAAAATAAGACACAGGAGAAACACAGGAATGGGCATTAAATGCCTAAGTGTTTAGTTCTCCCCTCTTCTCTTTACTCTGAGATATACAACATTTCCTTTTACTACTGTAAGCCATAACTATCACTATTGCTTTCACACTAAGGTCTGCTGACTCTGGACAAAATGACAGGTTTTCTAAGTCACTTCCAAGGCTATGCTCTCCAGAGCTAAGCCTTGTCTTTGTGACACAGTCTCAGAACCTCCACACCTCTGTACCACCCTTCTCTAAGCCAAAATCCTCTTGTCCCATCTCATCTTGGGCCAGGTACCTGCTGTTCTACAGCCACTGTGGCCAGTTCACCTCACTGAACCCACCTGCCTGGAGCCCCACTTCCAGACACCCCCTAGCACACAGACATTCTACCTGCTTGTGCACATGCTTGAGCTGTCTCTTCTTCAACTTTTAGTTAGATTAATTTTTTTAAAGGCAGTGTCAAATAGGTCCGGGAAGGAGATGGAGAGAAAGAAGAAGAAAGGGAGGAGAGAGAGGAAAGGGAGAGAGAGCAGAGAAGGAGAAGAAAGTAATTTGCAGCTATGTCTAGCACTGGGCCTTATGCAGTGCTGGGACTAGGTGCTAAGTTAATAGATAGAGTGAGGGCCGTGAGTTGGTACCTGGCCTCCACTGGTTGTTGAGATGATTCTGGTCGTGCCCCCACACTGCTTCACGTACCACAGGAACCAGAGAGCAGAAACCTCATGAGTCTCGGCAGTGACACACAGGTTTACAAAAAGAGTGCCAAGCTGCTTTGCAGAGCTGCTCAAGAAGAAACAAGAGCAAAGTTGGCGAATGCAAGAAATCTTTAGCACAATTTGACTCGCTAGAGTCTGTTACAAAACACGACAACAGAGATTTGGAGACTGTGAGGTTTACTTCCCCACTAAACAAAACGCCTCGGTAAGAATCGGCTCTGTTCCATCCTCTGTGCTATGCTGATTTGTTCCCACACACCTGCTGCTCTTTCAGGGATCCCATCTCAGTAAAGGGCATAGTCATTCACTAAGTGGCTAAAGCCAACACTTAAAAATCAAGTTGAATTTCTCTCTCTCTCTCCATCACTATTCTCCCATCCAATCCATCAGAAAGTCCAGTCATCTCTCATCACATTACTCTGCCTTCATCACCACAGATTTAGTATCATCTCTTGCCAGAAGCATCACAATTACTTCCTGTGGGCTGGTCTCTCTGCCTCCACTCATCCTTACCTAGAATCTACTGATTACACTAAACGACAGATGATGTTTACCTCCCTCACCATCGTGATGCTCTTTCACAACCCTGTCACGTTATTCTCTTGCTTAAAACCCTCCACTGCCATCCCATCAAAAGCAGGATAATATTCAGATCTTTTCCCATGGCTTCCCAACCCTAAGTACTGTAGCCGATGCATGCCTTTCCTACCTCATCCTGTAGCCCCTCCCACTTATTCGAAAATTTCCCCAGAAAGATGCACTCATCCGTCTAGGAAAACGTGCACTAGCATCTGTACTCACAGCACCCTAGCGTTCTGTCATCTTACCATTGTATGGTATCTTTAGAAGTTTTTTCAATGTCTGAAATTATCTTCATTATTGTGGGGTTTTCTTTTAGTTACTGTGGAGTGAATCTGGGGATGCTTTGATTCTGAGCAACATCCCCAACTTTTTAAAATTAAGTTTATTGGTACAAATTAGGTTTATACGATGATCACATTCACCATAGGGAATCTGTACCTGTGCATGGTATACCTTGATTTCTTCTTTCTCCTCCCATTCCCCTCCCCTTCCTTTAACCTCTCTTCCTCTCCTTATCCACAAACCTTTGTTTCCATTTTATCCTTTCTTTTCTTTTCCCTTCCTTTCCCCCTACCCCTGTTCCCCTTTCTTTTTGAATAATTTCTTCCCATTTCACCATCTCTTGTACAATTTGGTTCTTATTTATGCTTTCAGTTTTGCATACCAGTGAGACTGCGATATTTACACATATGTGTCCAATTTATTTCAGTTAAGAGTATGGTCTCAAGGTCCATCCATTTAGCAATAAATGTCTCAAGTTTATCCTTCTTTATGGTGGAGTAGTACTCCATTATATTAAAGAAAATCTTTTTATCTATTCATCGGTTTAATGGGCATTTAGGTCACTTCCAAGATTTAGCTATTACAAACTGTGCCGCTACAAACATGGGTTCATGTATTGCTGTGATATGATGATATCATTTCTTTGGGGAAAATACCAAGAAGGGGAAGAGCTGGGTGAAATGGGCGCTCTAATCCTAGTTTTCTGAGGCACCTCCACACTGCTTTCCACAATGGTTGCACCAGTCTACACTCATACCAACAGTGGAAAGGGGTTCCTTTTTCCCTATAGTTCCATCAGCATCTGTTTTTGGTCATTTTTTTTATAATAGCCATTCTGTCTGGAGTGAGATGGAATTTCAGTGCTGTTTTAATTTGCATCTCTCAGATGATCAGTGATGTTCAACGTTTTTCATATATTTATTTTTGATTTATAATTCATCTGAGAAGTATGTATTCATCTCAGATGCCCATTTTTGGGTCTTTGAATTTGGGGGTCTGATTTTTTTCCAGTCCTTTATATGTTCTAGATAGTAGCCCTTTGTCTGAGGAGCAGCTGGTTAAATTTTTTCCCATTCTATCTAAAAGACTTTCACTCTGTTGGTGATTTCTTTTGCTGTGCAAAAACTTTAATGAAATGAGATCCCAGCTATTGATTCTTTGTAGTATTTCTCGTGTAATATGGGTTTTGTTCATGAAGTCTCTGCCTACACCTATGTCTTCAAGAGCTCTACTTATTTTCTCTTTCTGAAGATTTAGTGTTTCTATTTTAATATTTAGGTTTTTTATCCATTTTTATTTTAGTTCATTGTGATAGATATGGGCCCCAACCCTTTTTATTTTTAAATTTTGAGACAAGATTTCCCTAACTTGCCCAGGCTGGTCTTGAACTTGTGATCTCCCTATGTCAGCCTCCCATGTAGCTGGGGTTATAGACATACAGCACTATGTCTGGAAATTTATTTATTTTTATTATTGTCTTTCCCACTAGAATATCCACCTATAAGAACACAAGCCTTATGTTTCTCATTCACTGTAGTGTCCCCTATAACAAAATAGTGCCTAGCATTTTGTAAGCACCCAAGAGTTACCTGTTGAATGATCAAATGAATGAATGCTAAGACATATCAATTAAGCCTTTTTAAAGCATTCATAATGTACAAAAGATATATTAGGTGCTTGTCTTAGTTATTTTTCTCTCATTGCTGAGACAAAATACCTGACACCTAAAATTAAGGAAGGAAAGTTTTATTTAGCTCACAGTTTGTGGAAGTTTCAGTCCATAATCAGCTGGCTCCAAGACAGGGTGGCAAATGGCAGAGGGCAATAGTTCACAGCAGGAGAAGACAGCAAAAACACCAAGAGCAAAAAGGGGGGAAGAACAAGCCTCTTTTCCTCCTTTATATTGTAAGCAGGCTACCCCGCCCTCTAGGCTGGGTGTAGCACTCACAGCATCTCCGTGCCCTCCTCTTGTACAGGATGAGGGTGCTTACAAAGTAAGGACCCTGGCTCCTGGCTGAGTCACTTAGTTAAACTTCTAAACTTCTCAAGATGACACAATGTATTAACCATTACAGTGCTATACCAAGCACAAACTTAGTCACAATATATTTTGTTATTTTACTTCCTAAGAGATGACAAACCCAAAGGATGGATGAGGAGAAAAATGATAAATCAAGCATAGATGAGTTCATTTTTGGTTGGGTCTTAGACGGTAAATAGCTAAAGGTCATATCTTATTAAGAAGCACAACAATCTCACACAATTCCAAGAACTCGGTAATATGTAGCATACCCTAAAATTTACCATAGTAATGTGCACTCTAGAATATTTTTAATAAAGATCAATTTCCCTTTTGACTTTGATGTAAAATTTGCATGTTGTTAATTCAGTTACACTTAAGGCAGAATTTGCTATGTGGTAATGATGATAATGGATAGGATAAGTGCTACTGTCTTTCATCTGCTGAATTCTTTCTATATTCCAAGGTCTTTAAATTCATTATCTTGTTCAATTGCTGTAAGAATCCTATAAAATAGCCATCATTTTTCCCCAGTTCACCAGCCAAAGAATTGAATCTCAGAGAGTTCCATAATACATAGTTACAATGGTACAACTTCAAACTAGATCATATCTGACTCAAAACTCAAAATGCTTTATAATTAGTCAGCTGATGACCTTGCTAGTGCAAATATGTGCTAAAGGACACCTCATTACCCTGGTGTATCTTGACCCTGAAAGTTTGTAGGAGCTTGCCTAACACATAGACAAGTTATCGACAATGCCTTCAGTCCTCACAACCCAACAGCACTTTTCTAATAGCTCCCATCATTACAGCCTGAAAAACGGTGTCACATTTACTTTGAAGCAGCTTTGAGTTAGTTTTGTAAGATTTCCCATGATAACTGAAGGGTTGAAAATTTCAGAGGCAATTTGTGGTATCTATCTAAAGCAACTATCCAGACATTGGTTTAAAAATATTACTTCAGGGTAAAAGATATATTTTGCTATTTGCCAACATTTTATTTCCGTTGCTCTTTATTTTATGGTTGAGTTTGGGGGCATGAGTAAAGGGTGTAATAACCAAAATGTAATGTGGGCTCAGCTAGATAGCCAATATTAAACATAAAAATATTTCTGAGATCCTAATTGTTATTGTTGCCAATTTCATGGGCAAGAAATAACCATAGTTTGAAATGAAGGGACATCTTAAAGTACAGTTATACCACCCAAACGTGGTGGTCTGCAACTGTAAACCCAGTATTCCTGAGAGGCTGTGACAGGAAAACTGCATGGTCAATCTCAGCCTGAGCAATCTTGTGAGATCTTATCTCAAAATAAAAAGGGGCTGGGGATGTAGCCCAACCACAAAGAAAGTACAATTGTCCCCCCTAATCCACAGGAGATATATTCTAGGATCCCCCCAATGATCCTGAACCTTGTATTATGTTTTTTCTACATATACATAAGATTAAATTTAACTTATAAATTAGGCACAATAGAAGATTAACAATAACTAATAATAAAATAAAACAATTTTAACAAATACTATAATAAAATTATGTGAATATAATCATCTCTTAAAGGAGTCATGAAAAAAATTCAGATGGAGGTTGACCAGGGATATCTAAAAATCACAAAAAGCCAAACCATGGATGGAGGAAGCTGTAATTCTCCCCGGAGAGCTTGTCCATTCCTAATATTTATTTGATTTATTCTGGGGGATTCAGTAAAAGAGAAGCAAGCTGAACAATATTTGAGGGATGGAAAGTCAAGAAAGCTAATGTAATATTTTGTATTTTTACCCTATTGACATTTTAAAAGGTAAATGTTGTAAATTTTTCTACATAAAAATATGTGCACATTAGGTAAAATTTAGAAAATTCATAATATAAAACTATGAGAGGATGAGTATTGTTATTTTGGTTTAAATGTGAAGCATCCCCCAAAGGCTCATGTATTGAGGGTTAGATCCACAATGCAACAATGCTTGAAAATGAGGCCTAGAAATGTGACTGGATCGTGAGTGTATTCCTTTGTCAATGGATTAATACACTGATAAGTTCATTAGTTGAATTCCTCTCTGGCTCTCACCCCACTCTCTGCTCCTCAAATGTCATGAGATAGCCAGCTTTATTCCCCAACATCCATTCATCATGGTGTCAGACATCATGGCTGGAGCCAGCCCAGCTTATACTGAACCCTCCAAAACTGTGAGTCAAAAATCTCCTTTATGTTGTGCATGTTAGGTATTTGGTCACAACGACAAAAAGCTGATCAATACAAGTATACTTCATACTGTACTTCCCCCAAAATAAGACCTAACTGGAAAATAGCCCTAGCATGATTTTTAAGGATGCTCATAAAATAAGCTCCCATTAAGATTATCAATCAGACGGACGCATTTAGCACATCCACTGCAACACATGATGGATATATTGAATAATAATATTAAAATTCTCAAGTGGGTGCTTTGGCTGATAGGTAAATCCTTATGAAAACAGACAAACTCCAGACTCACTGCCAAATGACCAATTGGAGTACAGCCACAACACATGAACAACATGCACACTTGATAGCAAATGGATGTAGCTGTGTCCAATATGAGTCTTCATAATTCAATATGTTGTGTGTTGTAACAGATGTACTTAATGTACTCATGTGAAATAAAGGTTTTCTGAATTTTACTGCCGGCAAGTTTTCATCACTTTTGTGTGGACCATCCTTCTTAACTGTCACCATTTTTGCTGCCACTCCTGTCTCATAAGTCAATTAACACTTGATTTAATGGAAAATTGTGAAGCTTAGCCTGCAAGAGGTCATGTCTTGGGTGCAGACTTCATGGGATAAAATCACTGACAGCTGTGTTGCCAATGCACTACGAGCAAGCACACAGACAAGAAGTGGTTGTTTAAGGAGAACTCTATTGCTGGACATGAGCGATGGAGGCTGATGGTTCTACAGGAAATGGAGTCACAAGAAATTCAGACTGGAATTTGAGGTTTTCAGTGTTATCACGTTGTTCCAGAAGATGACACGACTGTATTTGAATAAATGTAGATTTTTGTACATGAGTAAATATAGATTGTTGTACATGAAATATCAGACATTCCCTGAAACTAAGCCCTACTGAGTATTTTGGAGCAAAAATTAATATAAGACCTAGTCTTATTTGGGGGAAATATGGCATTTCTCCAAAAGATAATTACTAGTCTCATTTGATGTGCGTTTTCCTACATACAGGTTTTCTAAAAATGATCACCTACTTGTAATCACATTTAAAATATGTGTTTCTGAAGAGCATTTTATAAAATGACAGCAACTAAAAAATGATCGACATTTGTCTTTAAATGTATACTTGTCTTTTAGTTTGAATCACAATAGGTTGGACATTCTGGGGATGCCTTTCATAAAACCAGCAAATGAACCTATGTGTATCTTGCTTAGAAAATTGCCTTCTGTTAGCATACTCCTAATTTCCCAAAATGCTTCATTTAGTTAGTGAACAACCTAAAGTATTTAAGTGGAGAAGGAGACCAAGGGCTGGGTTAGAAAATTTCAGATCTCTATGATCCCAAATACAGTTGGCTCTAACTTCTGGGAGCTTAGCAACTCTCTGGGGAAAAAAAGTCAAACTAAATTCATGAAAAGCTTTTCATAAAAGAAGTTATAAAACAAATGCAGGTAACTGTATACTCACTGCAGTCTGAGAAACTATAGTATAGAATTATAAATAAATACAATTTGATTACAATCAAAATAAGTTACATTACAAACTACATTCCTGTAAAAAGTGTTAAATAACATGACATAAGGGTTTAAAAGGATGCAATTCATAATAGGCATTGATTTTGTAACATAAAATGATTTTACTATTCCAGAGTGGGTTGCTTTCAAAACCTGAAGACATAGGAGAAATATGATGATGTTTATTACAGAGTTTTATACAATAATAATGACAATAATGAAAAAGCAGAAGTAACCAAGATGACCAACAGAATGATGGACACATATATTATGGTATTCACTTTCCATGGAATATTCCACAACTATGAAATATGATGTTTGGCGAAGACTTTTCAATGATTTAATGCTTCTAAACTATTTTAACATAAATGTTTACATTGTAATATTAAATGTTAGAAACATTTTGATAGATTGCCACTGTTTTTACAGTGCATAGAAAACAGCTTTATTTTTAGGAATGAAATTAAATGTGCCACTGTACATATTTCATGATAGTTTGTCCTCTTTCCTATGTGCTTAACATTATTATTTCTCAAGTCATTAAATATTCCTCTACAACATGATTTTAAATGATTCTAGAGTATTCCATCATTGAGATAACCTATAATTTACTTAGCAAGTCTTTTACTACTGGATCTTTTTCTTTTTCCTTTTAAAAGTGTTGCTTGAAATTGCCTTTGTCTCTCTCCATCCCTATGGGCTGCAACCCTCATTTTTATTCTCCTTTGAAAGCTGAGTTCTAAGCGTAATTCTTAGAAGCTGAATTTTTATATCAACAAGTATGTAATTTCATATCTTTTAGTTATTTCTACATCATAGATTTAGATATACCTAAAAATGTTTCCATGGTTAATTTTCAGTGTCCTACTTGTCTCTCCAGTACTTTGAGAATGATGACATCAACCCCAGAACCAAACATATTTGCAACTACTGCTTTTTGTTTTGTTTTGATTTGATTTTTGTGGTAGTAAGGATTGAACCCAGGATCTTCACGCTGAGCTACATCCCCAGTCTTTCAAAACAATTGATTTAAAATTCTGAGACAGGGTTATGCTAAATTCCTAAGTTGTCCAGGCTGGGCTAAAACTTGGGATCCTCCTGCCTTAACCTCCCAGAATATTGAGATTGCAGGAGTGTGCCACCACACCTGGCTTCAACTACTGCTGTTTAGCATAAATGGTCAGTCTCCTTAGATTTGCCTTCCATTTCTCTCTTTTTTGTAAACCACAAACTCATCATGTGCTTGAACTGGAACCCCCCACAATCCTTTCCACTTTCCCTGCTAACCAAGAGCAGTGAGGACTTTTCGTGTCATCTGTCTAAAAGGCCTCCACAATTTGCATAGAGGTTCCAGTGCCACTAACAAGAATTTCAATTTGACTCATAAATTGTTGCTTTCAACACTACAGTGTTGCTTTCAACACTACAGGTTTTCCATTAAAGGGCAGCTGTAGGTCCAGTCACATGTTTTCCTGTAGAGTTGTGAAATACCTAGAAGCTTCCATTCAAATCCTTAAAGAGTTGCACATCACAAAAGGTGTCCCAAATGCATAAGATAATCATCTCTGCAGTTGACCACCAGTGAGGAGTACAAAAATATCCCTACAGTGACAACTTGATAAATGAGATCTTTGTACTGATGGCCTTTACACTGCTCTAGAGAAAGGAGGTAGCCCATTCTGGTCTGTTCTGAGGACTTTATGGGGTAATACTGAAACCAGCAAGATAAAAGGGAACTTTAAAGGCCTTTAGAGACAAGTAGCTTCTCCAGACCTGCCTTAAGTCTAGAGCATAAATGCCATCTCCCCCTCTCCTCAGCCCAGAGGAATGGACGGAATATGCAGATGCTGGAGCCACAAGTTCTGCTTTGCCAAACTTCCTCGTGCTAAGGGCATAAACAAAGCCCCTCCCCCAGCCTACATAAACAGAATAGGCAAATGTTGGCTCCAAAAGGTCGGGGTACAGGAGAGATGAAGCGAGCTTGGGATGTATATTATCTCATTGCATTCCCTCTCTTCTGTTCTTTGCTGTAAGAGACCCTTGCACATCTGCACACGGGGAGATGGTGATTTGAGGCAAATGAGGTCCCTCTACCTCCTTAGAGCTAGCTTTGAATAAAGCCTTTTTCCTTTTCACCAAACTGGCCTCATTTGGCTTGGTCAGCAGTGAGCAGTGGACCTGAACATATGAATCTGAGTGGCTGATAACAATACCATCTTTATGACACAAGACTCTTTCAAAGAAATAAGCTGGATGCATAGCTGTCTTTAGACTGGCACCTGGTTCCAATATTTTTCAACATTTCACTTGGCAAGTGGTGTGACTTGAGACACAGAGCCCATCCCCGATAAATGCTACCGCTAAATAAACCTAAAAGATGGTCACAGTAAACGCCTGTGCCCCATGGTGGGTCTTACCTAGTCCAGCAGATCTTGTTCAGCAGCTCCTTCATGGTCATGTGGTCCCACTCTTCCGCAAGGGGGGCCTTCCATGGGGCATCACTGGGGATCTAAATGCAGATCAAGAGTCGAAGGTGAAAGACAAAGGTAATTTCCATGTTCAATAACCATCCAAGCATTATTTGAAATTCTCTGACTTAAACAAGAAAAAATGTGTTTTCAAACTCCCCCCATAGTATCTTTCACCTCATAAACAACGTTGTCTGTGTAGCTTTGCTGTTATAGATCTGTACCACCCGATCCATACTTCATTTACAGTAACACTTCCTGCACAATAAATGGAGGTGTGTTATAAATAGCCTCTTCCAAATGTGGATTGCAGTAGTTCTCCCTAACCCACTCAAGATCCCAAGTAGATGCCTCAAAATATAGATGATACTGAACTCTACATACATAATGTTTTCCGCATACATGCATACTTACAATTAAGTTTTATTCAAAACTTGATCACAGTAAGAGATTAACAACAATAATAAAATAGAATAATTTAGATATATACTGTAATAAAAGTTATGTGACTGTGGTCTGTTTATTTCTGTAATTTTTCTATTTAGCACTTTCTAACTGCTATTGACAATGAGTAACTGAAACTGGAAAGTGAAACCATGGAGAAAGAGGCACAACCTCACTAAAGTTGCTAACTTACACAGAATATTCACAAATATAACTCCTTAACAATGCTTAGACAGCTGTACCAAGTCACTTCTAAATAGAAGTTTTCACTTAAACTTCACATGTGTGGGCTGCGGGTTTGGACATGGTGGAGAATCAAAGACCCGGATGTCTTGTGTTGTTGTGTCCTAAAGAGTTTCTAAATTAGAAACATCACCCCAGGAAGACTGAGTGATGCACAGACTTCTCCTCGCTCACCAATAGTTTACAATGGCAGGCTCTCTGACACCTCATTTCTTTAGAAGTGAGAAACAGGTTCATTCATCCATTTGCTTCACAGATTTTTACTGATTGCTACTATGCACTCAGCAACAGGCTAGGCACAGGAGGTGAGGGATACATTGCACTTTCTTTTTCTTAAGGATTAAACTTATTATGAAAAATATCAATGCAGTCAAAGACACTTTAGGTAATTTACCTCTTGCCCCATATCATCCATTGTCCTCCAAAGGTTATTATGGTCTAGGTAGGTAATTGGATTCCATACAGGTGGGAATGGGCCCTTGAAGGGGTATGATTTGCCCTGGGGAGATAAAGCATATTTTTAAGAGGCAGCATTGACTACAATACAAATGTAATTAAACCTGCCAAGTTGGTACATGTCCATAAGCAAAACCGCAGTAGTTATCAATATGGGACAAACACTCAAGTTTTTTTGGCTCTTTGTACCCTTAGAGTCCTATTGAATTTTTCAGCATACAGATTCCCAGCAAAATCCTTTGTTAACTAAATGTTTGGTGACACACCAAACATTTCTCTCTGAAACCAGAGAGATTTTTCTCTGAAACAAGAATACTTACCACATAAAATTTTAATGTCAGAATAAAAGTGGGGTTACCAAAACGAATCTCATTTGCCAACAGTGTTTGTATAAATGCCTTGGAATCAGGAACACTTATGTTATAAAGAATCAAAAATTACTACTATAAAGATTATACAAATTAGAAGTGGATGAAAAACCAATTGCAGAAGCGATCTGTAAAACAGGACACAGCAAACTTTCCCAAGGAGACAGAAGTATTACATCAATTAGGGTTGCCAGAGCTCAGTAAAATCAAAGCAGAAAGGTGAGAAAACTTCAGGCTTCTCTGGACATATTTATACCACCTGGTTCTCCCCATGGGGGGCCTGTCACAGAGACAAAGGGAACATATTTCTGCAAAGGCCTAAAAATAGAGTATTGCACAAATCAAGTCTGGAAGGGTTAACTTGTTGATGACAGTTAAGAGACAAGCTCAAGAACCACTTTGAGTGAATCTGCAAACGAGTCAGAAGTCAGACCGTGCATTCTGACAGCATCTTTTAACTGAATCAAAAGAACTCAGTATTCTCCATAAACCCCAAATCCCCCAATAATTCTGAATCATTCACCAAAGATTGATCTTGCAGGCAGAGAAACCTGAGGTGAGAAATGAGGAGAGATTTCAGACTCGTTCTTGTGTTGATTCTGTGGCCATGTTGGTCTTCTATCTCCAACAAGGCCGTAAGAATCACTGGGAAGAGTTCTCAATCAGGGTTTTACAGAAAAATAGGGGAGAGTGAGTGAGAGAGCAAGAGATGGAGAATGAGGTCTTAATTTAAGGAATGATTGTGCTGGCAAGTAGGAAGCCCAAAGTCTGCAGGATAGGCCAGTCAGCAGGAAGAGCTGCAGTGCAAGTTCAAAGACAATCAGCTTGCAGAATTACATCTTCTCTAGAGAAAGTCAAATCTTTTTCTCTTAAGGCATTCAACTGACTTGATAAGACCTGGGTGCATTATGAAAGGCAATGTGCTTTATTCAAAATTTATTGATTAAAATGTTAATCTCATCTAATAACTACCTCCCCAGAAATATCTAGAATAATGTTTAACCAAATGTTTGGGTACTTGGGTTTAGCCAAGTTGACATATAAAATTAATCATCGTGCCTCTTAATTTAGTTTATTGAGCTATAATTTACACATGATGTGCCCATTTTATTTCATTTTATGTATTTTAATTTTTATGGTTAAAATCATTTAAAATTTTTAAATTGACGAACCATTGCATATATTTATCATGGATGTGCTGTTTGAAATATGTACATATTGTAGAATGGCTACACTATGCTAATTAACATATGCACCACTCACATACTTATTTTTTGTAATGAAAACTCTTAAAAACTATTCTCTTGGCAATTTTCAAGAATATAATATATGACTACTAACTATAGTCACTATTTATACAATGGATCTCTTAAACATATTCTTCCTATCTAGTTGAATTTTTTTTTTTTTTTTTTTTTTTTTTTTTT